AAAAAAAGCCCCCTGAAAAAAAAAAAAAAAAAAGCAGTACATGACATAAAAAAACTAAATAATTCAAGAATAATCGACAAATTCACCAACTGTTGCATTCTACAGCAAATATTTCATGATGCTTTTTTCCTTCTTGCACCACAAAGTCTATCTAGAAGAAATCATCTACTTTTTTTTTTTATTTAAAAAAAGTTTGCAAATGGGAGATGGGAAGAGAGGAATCAGATGTGAATCGAACCTCGGTTTGGAGACAAGCGTATGTAAGCATAGCAGAAATGAAGAGCAGAAGAGACGTCCTCTCTGCATGCACAAAAGAGAAAAACATGCAACCGGAGGTCTGCAAAACATTCAAGCCAACTTTTACATTACACACGACCAGTCCACACGTTTAACACTCACTCACTCACACACACACGGTCACAGGATTGTCTGTGCTGGTGAAACCCTGGAATTAAATGCAAAACAAAGACTACACAGTAAAAGAACATTTACCTGGATGACAAAAATGTCTTTATCCTCAATTATTCTGTCGCTGGTGATGGATCTTTAAAGAAATAGGGATCTGCTGGCTGACTTCACATTGTGTCTTTGTATTTCAGCCCAACACAGTAGGTCTAATGTGCTTTTGTTGTGCAAAAACATCTTTATCTTTGTACAAAATGCCTGATTGTCATTTAGTTTGGGCTTTTTTCCAGTCAGAAAAAAAAATCATATTCCTTTATACAAAAAGCAGTGTTCGTTTCAGTGAGCAACAATGCAGACCAAATCTAAATCTATCCCTCAAGTTCATAACTTGCGTATTTGATTACACAATTCATTCAATGGAAATACATTGTCCAAATGGCAATTAAGTAGTCTGTAAATTGGTAAATGACTTAAAAAAAACAAAAAAAACAAGCGTTTTGCTCTTACATACATTTATATTTATGACCTCATGTGTGCAAATATACACTCACATATACTTTAGTGTCAAGTAATGAACCATTGTTATTAGTGATTTACATTGAAATAATATGAGAGCACATGATTTACAGGTGCTGAAAATGAAAAACAGTCACACACACACACACACACACACACACACTGACAGACCGACCATGAACGCAAACCTCATAATTCAACATGGGCAAGTCTAAACACACAAATCCTAACTCAGGACCTCAACAAGAAGAAATATCTATTTCAAACACCATGATTTGCTTCAGCACACCGTCTGAGATCAGTTTGAGAGGCAAAAATGAGTGAAAATATTTATTACGTAGATAAATGTTGAGCTTTTTTTGTAACGGTTACATTCTATATCCAAAATGTGTATTAGTGCTGGATGAATCTTATGAAGAAATGACCAGATCATATTTCACCACAAAATAAATAAAAAGTTCTATTTTGCATAAATATTCCTTCCCCCAATTCTTATTACCACAATGAAAATAATAATAATAATTCTTCATTAATGTAATGCAGAAACAATCTCATTCCCGTAACAGAGAAATCTAAATCACCTAGATTATTTAAAAAAATTAACAATTGTAAATTTATTACAGCAAATCCCATATATATATATATAATAACAATAAATACTAAAACTTAAAATAAAATGTAAACAATTTACTTGCACGCACACACACACACACACACACACATACACATATATATATATATATATATATATATATGTATGTGTGTGTGCGCGCGCAAGTAAATTCTTTTTAAATTTTAGTATTTATTGTTTCAGCATTATGGTCATGAAATATTGTGTGAATATTGTTTGAAATATTGTGGACCACTGAACATTTTTAAGTAGTTTTGGTGCGTTTGAGTGCCATGAAAATAATGTCAGGATGCAAAAAAGAAATGGTTTAATATGTTTCTATGCAAAATATAATCTCTTATTTTTGTCTTTCGTGAAAACGGGTCATTTCTTCACAACTTTTATGAGATTTACCTTTTTAGACTTGATCAAATGTGACACTGTTGACACACCAAAGTCCATTTTTCGACAAAGTTCACCTCCCAAAAGAATCTCACAAGCTTCTAGGCTGGTGATGACATTCTTTTCCAAAAACAAGGCGATGGATTTGCATCACCATGCCACAGCAGAACACTTCAAAGTGGCTGAAATTCGTACCTCCATCTAAAAGAATCACATTTTTTTCTTTGTTTTTTTAGTTTGTGCTACTGATCCGACAGACAGAAATGTAAAAACCAGACATCACAGAACTCCAGATAATAATATGGTATCACTCACATCCAAACGGATCCTTCCCGTAGAGACGGACAAGTGAACGATCACCCAAGAAAAGGTTCCGAAGGGTCAGTTTGGACAGAGCAGTAATGAGTCAAGGAAAAATAGCTTCTTTGTGCCAGGAAAGAGTCAGTGTGCGGGACACGATTCCAGTGAGAGAACGTCAGGTCGTCTTGATTACACCACTAAGGCCTAAAAAGTCTGTTTGTCAACCGGTTCATTCGTTCAAAGTGTGGTGATCGACACATGTCAGTGTAAACCTCACAGAGAGGTGCTTTACTGGCCCTCTTTACATGTGACGCTCAAGCTGAAAAACCGCTGAATAAAACCCCGAAACAAGTGTCTTTTCATTCGTGTCTGAAGTCTTTGCTCTAAACAGGAAATCGTCCTTGAGTCCTACAGCTTCCAACACCTTCAGTTAGTAAAGTCTTGACATGTACCCAATGATCCTATGATGTGCCCTACACCACGGTGCTGAGCGAGGGGCCGCTGCAGTCTGCGGTGGAGCTCTGCGTGATGCTGCTCTCTGATTCGCTGTGGGTGTCTGGAGACACCAGCAGGGTGCTGCTGTCGATGGAGTCCTCGCGCTCCTCCAGGGGGGGCGGCGGTGGCGGGGCGGGGAGCGCAGGCTCGGGGAAATCCCTCTGGAGAGAGTCGACCGCGCCACTCATGAGACCAGTCGCCAGCGGAACACTGGTCCGTCCTGCAGAGAGAACAGGAGGTCAACGAAGGGTCATCCAAAACCTAGTGAGCTGCATTGCTGTCTAGTGTTTGATATTGTCAACTAAAACCAACTATTAAAAATGACATTTCCATTGACTGAAATAAAGCTAAAATAAAATACAAGTATTAGATGAAAAGTGCAAGCATGCAAGCAAATGTAAAATTATACAATATTTTAATTTGAAGTACCAAAATTAGAAAACCTAAAAGTGAAGAAAAATAACGTTTTGCATTTAATAGACAGAGAAGTAGAATTGGTTAAAAATAGTTTTTGATAAAAAAAATACAATTTAACAACTGAAAAATCGAAATGAATAAATGTAATTAATAAAACTGAAATAAAAATAGAGCCAAATAGAAATATAGAAAAAATAGAAACATTTTAAAAATAAAAAAGCACATATCAAAAGGACTAAAACTGAAACTAAAATAAAAATACAAAAATTAAAAGCTAATTCAACATATTAATAAAAACTATAAAACCATATAAATAATACTAATAATACTGAAATTGTATTTTCTTAAATTATTTAGAACTGAGCATAACTGCAAAAACAATTAAATGCATAACAGAAATTATAGTTTCAAAATGTTTTTTAATTAAAAAAAGTTATTTATAAATATTAAAACACTAAAATAACAAACAATAAAAATTTCATAAACTATTTTTTTTTCAGTTTCACGAATCTGCCACACAAATGAGTAATATTCAAGTGCTGAAGAGATTCAAATTAATTCCAATAGTTTGATTATAGCATTGTTATAAGCTAATGTTGTTCTCTAACACATAAAAAAAACACACATATACACAAATATTGTGTAAAATGGTTATAATCAACACTTTTCGGTATTAAATGCAATATAATATTTGCAAATGATATTCCTCTCGAGTATTTTTGGGGGGATACACTACAAAATGCATTCTGGTTTTGCTTTATTTGCAAAAGATACATCTGATGATTCCTTACAATTTGGCCATAATTGGGTATCTTAGACAACTTTATTATGTTTATCCTACATTCTATATAAGCAGCTCACTAGGTTTTGGATCTGAGCTCTAGAGTGTGATCCATAAAACAAATTCATTTAAGATGATAAATGATTAATTGCATATGTATATAAAAGACCTAAAAACACAGTGTTACTGTTGTTAATCTTTGTAAAAACATACCAAGGTCCATGTAGAGGATGCTGTCTGGGTTGATGGAGGCCTCATATGGAGGAGGAGGGTCATCGGGGTGGTGGATATCTGGGTATTTGTAAGCAGCATAAGGGGGTGGAGGCTCCTGGAAGTGAAAAGCTCCACCTTCACCATCATCAGAGAGGTGCAGAGGCGTCAGGCCCGTCCCGAACACATCCGGCCCGTAGTCAAAGCCAGGGACCCTCCGCCCCAGATTAAAATGGTGCACTGTGAAAGACAGCGATAATTCAGAAAAACAGCACTTTACCATGTGCACATAATCAGCTGATCACACAGGGCCTTACGGTTTCCTCCAATGAGGGTTTCGATGCGTTCCCTCCGGCGCTGTCTCAGTCTGTGCACCATGAAGAGCAATAGCGAGAGGATGAGGAAGGATGAGATGCAGCTCACGATGAGCCTCATACCGCTGGCCATAGAGTCAAACAGACTGCTACCATCTGAAAACAAACAACACTAATGAGATTTACCTCTACCAGACCACAGCCTGACACTAGGAATGTGTGTGATTGAAAGTATACTGCTGACTGCACACTGAACAGTAAATACTACCTAGAACTTCTCTTAAAAAGTAACTGAAACAATATGCAGTAGTAATACGCATATAAACCAGCAGATATTTGGTCATAATGCACCAGATTTTTGTGAATTTTGTGAACACGGTGTGTAAAAAAAAAAAAAAACATATAATTATTTAAATAAGAATTATTTAAAAGTAATTGAAATATAGCAAAATTAAAATAAATTATAAATATTAGATGAAAAATCGGATAAAAAAAGTTTAAGCTGAAGTACTAAAACTAAACCTGAAAAAAATTTAAGCACATAGAAATGCTTTTAAAAAACGACTAATAAAAATGACATAAAATGACTAAAACTTGAACTAAAATTCAAATTAAAAAATAAAATAAAAGCTAATACAGCTAATAAAATATACAATAAAATATAAACAACACTAACTATATATATATATATATATATATA